GGGTTAGTGGAGGAGACATGAGAAAACAACAGAAGCCCTGAATACGAGGACAGTTAGAGATGACAGACAGTTTTAAAGATTAGCTTGGTCTGAAAAGCAAAACACTTAATGTTCATGGAAAAATGTGAAATGAAAGAGTCAAAAGCTAATATTTTTCCATTTTTACTATCATAAAAATGAAACTTCAACTGCCCATATTATAGCTACTGTCAGTGAGAACAGGTCAAATTCCACTATGCTGCAGATGAAGCACCTAAAGTGCCTCTTCCTAAATGTATCCTCATGGATAGCTCAAAAGCCAAATAGCCTCTGTGAGGCTCTCAGGTGCAGTTTGCACAGTCACAGTCACTGTATCAAGACCCGGGACATTTCAACATGTTTGAGCACCCATTCCCTGGGGGATCACAGTGAGTCTTAATGCAGACTGGGTAGCAAGGTGCATGGGGACAAGCCTGATTTGGAGGTGACCTGTCCTCTTGCAAAGCCAGGGGATTTATGTGCTTCCAGGTCTGCCTGTGCAAAGCCAAAACTCACTTTCTCAGTGAAACAGCCGGTGGTAATTCTTCCCCTATTTAGCTTTCACTGACTTCTCTGAAAAAGAGTTAACACTAATGCTTTCTTTACCTTCCTGTCGCAAGGGAGAAATCTTGGCCTCAAGTCACATCTGCCTGGCTCTTTTCCTCTTTATTTTTGTTCTTACCCAGCCTTCTCCTGCCGATTATCCAGCTTTGCTGTTGTAGCTTGAATAATTCAGGTGGAATGAACTGAGTTGAAACAAGGTGACAGTGTTCCACCACTTGTCCACTTAAGTTATTCACAAATTTGTCTTGGAGTAGGACCTTTGCTCTGACTCTTAAATCATGACAGTGTTTCAGGTAGAGTTATGACTATAGAGGAAGCAGCTGTGTTCAGTTTCAAATACGCAGGCATGAAATACATTCACATTTTGTCTTTACTGTATAACTGAACATGTATTCTTCAATTTTAAGTGTGGCCTGACACTAACGAGTCATGTCGTTGCACTAGATTCTCTTAAGCTTCTTTTTACGTTTGTCTTCAGTGCACTTCATATTTATTAGCTGTTCCCATTAGTTCCATCTGCAGTTCCAGTTACCACGTTCGTGTTAAGCCAAGTTGGGCATTCTCAAGCACTGTAGAGTCAATGTCTTATTTTCTAAAAATGTTAATTTCACTCAAACTTCCATCAATAAGATCTTTAAAATCCATTTGCAATGTAAATGACTCAAAGTGTAATCCATCCTGCTGTGTTCCAGAACACTTCCTTCTTATTTAATTGCCATAGACACTTCAGTTACCGATTAAACTTTATTGTTTATGATGTTGCATTTCATTAATAGTTGTGATAAAAATTGCATGTTGCAGGAAATTTTTTGCATGTTAATGCTACTATTGGGGTGCAATTCAGAATTCATGGGGAAGAGTTCATCTCAGAAGTTTCAAGACTGCACTCTTATAACTATATAATGAAACTGCTATACAAGAGTAATCTTGAACACAGAGGGTGCTTCCTCCAAAAAAGTACTTAGTTTCAACTAAGAATTTTTTAGGCTCAGGAGCTACTAAGCCCATTCACCCAAACCAAATATTTATATCTAAATAGTTAAAGATATTAAGGAAACATAAGGCTGAAGGTTTAGCATTAGGTACAGGAAGGGAATAAGAAGTATCTTTGAAGGAGGTCAGCTGTGAAGCCACTGAACAGATAGTGTATAGCTCAGTTCTCTGATGAAGAAGGTACCTTAATTTCTGAGTAGGTAAGTTTTGCACCTTCCAGTCCCATGGATTCAGGGAAAGGATCATTTAGGTCCAGAGGCTCTGAAGCCACTCATTGGAGGACCTCCCTGTCCCCACTGTGCCCCCTCCTTCCATAATATCATTGTGGCCCATTACCTTTAATTCTACCTCTAGTAGTACCAAAATAGCATCCAGGCTGTGCTGGATCACCCACAGAAAATGGTGCAATGCAGTGCTGCTGTTATTTGACAGAACAGAAAGCCACATTGATCCAAGTTACTTTTTACAGCAAAGCGTGTTTATACCAGGATTTCATCCTAGTGAAGCCATGTTTGCTTCCTGGTGCAGAACAGAGACCCTGTCCCTTCTGAGACTCCTGGGCAAAAATCATTAGGGATGAGAGCAATGAGAATCACTGGCTGTAATATCTGCTGCTTTCCAGCCTGGAAGAGTGCCTCACAGGCAGAGGTTTCCCTGGAAGACCTTCGCTCACTGTTGGATGCAATTACAACAGATTCTCTCATTTCTAAATTTTAGCTGTACCTGCTGTTGAATAAACAGGCTAGACCAATCTCAGACATTATTTATTAATGGAAGCTGATTCTTTTTTTTCAAAATACAGCAAGTAGAATCCTCCTCTAACCTGCCTGGGCCAAGTAAAGGTAAAGAATACAGTTAAGTGAGACAGCTAATTTTGTATCCTCATTCATACACTGTTGTTCCAGACCTCAAGTACTCACTAGTGGCACATTCAGCACCACTCCAAAGATGGTAAACAATTGGCACAGACTTAACAAGTTTCTTTTTCTGGATCCAGAATAATTCTTTCAGGTTGAAACTGCATTGAACTGATTGTGCTAGCAGAGCAGCCCAGTGCTGGGCAATCTGCCAGTCTGCAGTGTGCGGAGTACAGGATTTGTCCTGCAGCTAAACAATAGCTCTTCTTCACATCCACGTCTCTCATGATGCAGCCCTTTTAACTCAGAAGGAAACTTTGGTCTCCTAATGACTTGCAAGTCTAACTTGGCCATGTGATTAAGAATTATTTCTTTTGTGCTGTAGCACAAAAATAATTCAAATAGATGTGATAATGGTATTGCATTCAGCATGAAAAGATCATTGAATGTAAACGTGGAACAAAATGTACTTCTGTCTCACAGAAAATTGCATTTAGAACTTGTTGCTACTTTGCTGCTTTTGTGATAATGCTTCAACCTCAGACCCTGGATCTCAACATAAATACCCTGGCGTTTCAGACAAAGGAGTCAGAGAACATCTATTATCTCCCAAAAGCTGAGAAATTCTGGAAGGTGCATTAAGACATGATGGGATTCTTCCCTTTGTGACTTCCAGAAAGTCACAAAAGTGATTGTTTTGGGATAACTAATTTTTAAAGAACACTTTGTGTAGCAGGATTATGTCATGATGGTTTTTGTACGTACTGGCAGGGCAACAGATCTTCTGCAAGAGGAAAAAAGGGAGAAATGGGGAGAGAATAAATGCTGGATTAGGAGTTCTGGCTCGAGCATTGCCCAGAAGAGTTACTAAATGTCACCACAAATTAAAAATTACTTTTTATTTGTGAGCCTTTGTGCACAAAGCACAGTGAAAATATAGCTAAAATTTGCACACTTAGGTACCAAAAGTTAGATATTCACTTCAGAGTTTGACAGTGATAAGATTTCCCAAGGTACACCTGGCATATCTGTTCCCATAACTGCATGTTTTCCTTGTGAAAATCTTCCCCTTAATAACTCACTTTGGTTTAAATGAATTCTGACTTACAGCAACCTCACTGGTAGCTGTTGAGTGTTCATTACTTCAGAAGGTCAGGCTTCTTGGGTAGACATTTCTTGCACTGTTTTATTACTATGCAGACAGGAGACATGGAACTTTTTACACTTCACTCCTCTAGCTGAGTATCTATATCTTGCTTTGAACACTTTGTGCTACACAGGTGTGTTCTTCATTCAGAAAAGCAGAGGAATAGTGAGTATTAATCATCTGTATCCATTTTCTGAATATCACATGATTCTTATAGGTCATGTGTACAGTAGACTCAAAATAGTGCATAACAGATATTACTGCTGGTTTATGAAAAACAGTAAATAAAAATTCAAAACTCATTTTTAAACGGAAATGTAAATATAAAAAATGGCTGATGACACAGCTTGTAGCATTCTGCTTTGGAAATTACCTTTGTTATTTTGCAATGAAATTGAATTTTCAACTGTCAAAAATTTCCCATAAAATGGAAAGCAAATTCTGACCCTGTCTTTTTCTTCCAGCACATTCTCATCACTCCCAGAAAGACCTCATGTCCCTCATGGGGGACCATAGGTCTTCTGTTTCTTTTTGGAAATATATGTTCTACACCACTGTTGATATTCCATAAAATTAGGGTGCTGGGCAGTTTTTCTTGTCCAGACTAGAGTGCCACTCTGAAGTACAGTTACGATCTTCATTTGGTTTTGTAGATTTCAGCAGATTTTTAATGAACACCTTTTGGGGGAAAAGTACTAAACCTATTTTTGTCTTAATCCAATTGCTTTGGTAGCTACAGAGTAAGACATATTTTAAAGACACCAGGACCATATGTTGTAAAGTCATTCTTTTAGGTATAAAAACATCCAACAAAATAGTAAGTTGAAACAGAGAGAGTTCAAGCTGAGGTACCAGCACGTGGAGGTTATATCCATGCATACACTAAACATGGCTTTTTCTCCTTGAAGATGTATTCTGCATCATCTTGAGCTAAGGAAGCTCCCTAATCTGCAGTCCTGCTCTTACCAATTCAAACCCCTTTCTTCTACAAAATCTAGTACCAGCTCTCTAAGCCAGACATTCTTTGCTACCTCTCCTTGCCTGTAGTCACACTTCCAGCTTATTCCAATAACTTCCAGAAGAAGATCCTGCAGGATACAGGCTGTCCTGAAAGTAGCTTTTCTTTGGGGAACAAAGAGCCTCATCTTCTTTATGCCTCAAGCTAGCAGTATCTCGAGTCCCCTGATGCCTCCCAAAGGCAGTTCCGATTGGGTTAGCAGCTGAGCCATTAGACTGACAGCAGAAAACAGACTTTTGTTTAGACAGCAGCAGAAGTGTGCAGTGATACACAGTAACCTCCTGAATGCAAATACGTGTGACATTTTTATTTTTTGCAGTTTTCTGAGAAAGTAGCAAGCCAGGTCATTGTAATGAATTGGTAAACATCACACTGTATTATATATGAAATTCATCTCCTTGCACTCAGAAGTGGGGTGTTAATGCAGTACTCCTCACTGTGATGTCTGCTTTCTGATATGTATGATGCTGTGCTCTAAAATATTCGTATCCCAGTCATACCATACCACTGTGTTATTAGCCTGAATATATGAAGACAAAAAAAGACCAGGAAGAAAGTTAATTTCACTTTTGGTTTTCAATTCTTATGCACTGTAACAGAATGTGAATAACCTCATTACTATACAATTTTTGTGTGTCACATAATGACCTCTATACTAAAGACCAAAGTTTGCATAATTGAGGAGAGACTCACCTACAACAGTGTTGGAATTCATTAGCATAAGGCTGAAATAATGCTAAGAAAATAGTATTTGATGTCACCTATTTAAACTGAAACACTGTGTGTTTTCTTTCCTCTGGAATTCTTAAAGGTACATGCTCATGACGAGGAACACAGCTTGTCTTGCTGAATCTGGCAAACAGTGAGAGATGGTCCTGTAACTCATCAGCTATTTACATAACAAATGGAAAAGGTCTATTATGTAGTCTTGTAGTTTCTTGCAAGTATCAGTAAAGTATATGTTACTTAATGGATTTATCTTTATAGGCAATATATTCACATATTTATCTTGACTTTTAAGTGCTCATCCTTCATGCTAGGCTCTCTGTAGTAATTAAAATATACCATAAATCATATCTACTGTAATTACCAAAATACACAGTAATTATCCATTGATCTTTTGAGCCTGTAAAGTAACTATTTCAAAGCTGAGTTATTTTGGTATTCCTTGAGACAAGCCTACTGCAAAATGTTAGTAATTCACTTAATATTGCAGCATAGATCAGCTCTGGAGTGTTTCATGTCTTCTCCCTCTCCCCACAGAAATGTTATGGCAATTCTATTGACTATCATTTTAAAAATCACTTTCATCGATGACACCTGAATCCTGAATGCTATTCTAGCTGGTGACAATATCCTGTGGTATGCAGTTATTGAGGATCACTCTGCAGGCAGCTATTCCTTTCATCTTACACTTTGTCTTTACCATGACTGCAGAGAGAAATTCTACATGAATTGGGGGAATTCAAACCTGAGTTGGAAAAAGGAACAACTCTTATCTGAAACCTGCAGGTAGTTAAACCTACTCCAGTGCATCTGCTCAGAATGAGAGCTGTGAGCCCAATGGTAATAAGTACAAGTTTACAAAAACAATCTGAAAAAAGGCAGAATAGTTCTGCTTGCCTTACTGAAGGTCTGAGTATCCATGTCTGAATGTGTGTAACGGGGGTTTCATGAGCCTTGGGACAAATGCACTTACCATTGCTAACTGCAACATTTTCCAAGCTTTTCCCTTTTCACAAGTATAAATTCTAGCTGAAGCGCAGGCACCTTGCCAGTTTTTTTTAATATTGCCAATTCCATGGCTGCATAAGACATATGAGGATGTGATTTGTTGTAGTGTTATATCAGAGAGTGAGGTGAGCCCAAGTCAATTTATGTAGGGGTCAGGGTTAATTTTCTTACTGTTCATGGAAAAATGTTACACTAGTTTTCTGCAAACTTGAATTTCCACTGGTAGTAATATCTTGCAGCCATGGTGGTGTGTAATGTAGCAGTGCTAAATTCTTGTCTTCAGAGATTTATGCAAGTCATTATTTAAAAATAGAGATCTAGGAGTCACATCTGGCTAATTAATCTGTACTAAGGAAAGTGAAGTGCCTGGCCTTTCAGGTATCCCTGTGATGGCTGAGTAAGCTTGCCATCCCATAGAATTGTCACTTCTTTGTTGTTTCTTTTTTTCACCCCTTTTTCTGTATAAGAAGTAGGTGCTGAAACAATCAGCTTAGCGCATACACAGTTTTCAAATAATTGCATGGGTCTAGTTCAGAATTTGAAATGAATTAGGAATAACCAGTGTGCATCACCATGGACTGAAGATTTGTTATGCATAAGCCTGTCAGGGATGTAACCAGTCAGGTATCACTCTAAGGTTGTATATGAATACAAATTTACCACAATAATTCATCCTTGTTACCTGATACTACCATGTTTTGCTTTTGATCTTTTCATGATATTCCATGACAACTGTTGTCATATTGCAGTTAATTTTAACAGCCCTATGGCCAAACCTGAAAGCCGCCCAATTGTTAAAATAAGACAAAAAAGGATATATTATATTTATGTCAGTATTATAGTAATTCATACTGCCAGTAAACAGAGAAGGTAAAACCATGTAACCATAATAACTTGATTGGAAAAAGTCATTTTCTCATAATGACTTGTAGGGTGAGTAGCGGTAGTCCCCACTTCCTGCCGTGCTATACTGGGGATATGCAGTTCACAGGAGTGACTGGGTGTCACTATATACTTCACAGCCCAGACTACTGCCTCTTTACTCCAAATGCATAACTACCCATTATTTCTTTAGTTATTGGTAAGTCTAATAAAGAATCAAATTAATTATGTTCTTTAAAACGTATGCACCTATAAATCGAGGTTACCAGTCTCAATGTAGTCAGGAATTACAGTCTTTAGCAAAAGATTATGTGTAAGATTTGAGTACCTATGCTAAGGTTTGAATTTCTAAAACAGCTGAAGGGAGTGTTTAGATCTAATTGTAATCACTGAAGATAGTAAGTATGAAAAGGGGGTTCATGTCAGATCATGATTCCCTTAGGGGAAAACAAGTGCAAGAACCGTAATCTTGCCTAGTCCCACGCAGGGCAGTGGAGTTTACTAGCCAGATGATAAGGACACGGACTGAAACATAGGGAGCAAAACATGTTTTTTGTATCTAAACTTAGCAAATATTTTGTTACTTTGTGAGCCTGTTTCTTCTGTATGTTTGCATAAAGATAGTCCTTTCTCATGTCTTCTTCCTCGCACCCACAGAGCTGGCGCAACCTCTGCAACAGCCGTATGTGTATAACATATTCCAGTACATTCACTTCCAGATGAAGGCAAGTGTATTTGCTGGCCTCTATTCCCTAACTGTTTGGAAATACAATATCCCTGGATCAGTAGACAAGAAACAACAGACATCTTACACCAGTCAGCTTCTATGATGCAGAAAAGAAAGACAGTGATGCTCTCAATCAGTTTTATGTCTAGCAAACTCAAATTATAAGCCCTCAATAGTTGCTAGTTTTTATTATTTGAGCAGCATATCTTATTTATCTCACGCATTGCCAGTCTTTCCAGTATAAGACTAAAAATCTGTTCTTAGTCAATTCAAATTATACAAATGGCTTGTTCTGACACAGAACTGTGTGAAAACTCTTGTCTTATATCCAAGTTATATCACCGAGCAGTGCCAAGCGCAAACTGTAACCAAATACCCCATTTAAAGATATTTTTGATCAGGTAATTAGATGCAGTTGTTCATGGGTTTGTTGTGTTTTTTTTTCCTAGTTAATGCACAGTCTTAACAATTTTTAAAGGGAAGCGTAGTACATTGGGCCTTCCTGTATTTGAAATCAAAATTATTGAGGTCTTCCGCTCTGACAGCAAGAGCTGTCATTCGATCCAGAGCAGGTTTCTTAGCTTTCTGTCCTTATTGTCAGATGAAAGGAAGAAGAATACTTCTGTAAAGGTATTTATGGATTTGTACGGTAATTTTGAGAATAATCCTTGATCTTGCAGAGTCCTTTCAGGAGTATTGCTAGACATTGTGCTAATTACAGTGTGATCATAACACTGTAGGGAGGAAAGAAATGATGGGTAAAACTACTGGGTGTGAATAGTTTCATTCTCTCTCTCCTTATGGTAGACTTAGTCCTGTGTCAAAGTTGACGGATGGAGACTCTTTAACTCACATGGGAACTGGATTAGACAGCCCTTGTGATCTAAGGTGAAATTTTCAGCTGTGCTTCTAGTGTCCTACATTAGTATGTGTGAAGAGTTCATCCCCTCACCTACCCACGCACCTTGATGACATTCTTTTCATCTAATCTCCTGTAGGAAATTCATATTGTCTAATGTTGATATCTAGTGTTATTTAATAAATTCAACTCTAACAACACATTAAAAAAAACACCAAACCTATGTGCAGTAAACTGGGACGTTTGTCTTTTCTAAAGTGCTAGAGGAATACCGGTAAGCTGCCTTTTTAATAGTAAATCATATTTCAACTTTTTAATAAAATTTAGCATTAATCTGGTAGAGTTGGCCCTTCTTGTGGAAACCCCGGGGAAACCAGTCCAGAGTAACTTCACAGGGAGAAATGCTGAGCTCAGTAATTATGACTAAGATGACTGACTTACACTACATACTTTCCTTCCATTCTTCCCTTTCTCTTCACTCTTTGCTCTGGACCATTTATGACAAGTCTTATGTAGCCCAAAGTAAACAGTACTGAGCCCCAAAAAGAATGAAACCCCTACAAATAGTAACCAGAAAATCTTTTACCAGAAGTAAATGTGTGCATAAATATTATTCAAACTCATAAAATAAATCATGATATGTCCTGATCTGTTAGTTTTAAATTGCCTTCTGAGATTAAAATGTTTAAATTAATCTTCATGGAGAGATGTGCTGCAACTCCCAGAACTTTTCCTGGCTGCAGATAGAGAGATCTTAGAATGACCGCTGGTTACATTTGTTTGCTTTTTATTTCTGAAAAATGCAGGGAGGAACGATATAAAACTCTCAGGAGCTCACTTCATGATTAACCATGACGTAATTGACAGAGGAAAACAGCAACAATTCATACAGCCAGTAATTAATCTCTAGCTTTATGGCCTCATTTGCCAACTGTCTCCATATTTGACAGAGAGAGTGACTTGCTGAATGTTTAATTTCCTCAGTGACAGCAAAGGTATGAAATCAGATTTGAAGATAAACATCTTCTGTGGCTTCTGCTTACAAAAAGAGTAGCCAATTAAGTATGCTTGCTTAGCCCTTGCAAATATTTGCCATGGGATTGACATAGGAAATAGAACTTTTTTTCCCTTTCTGCTCAGGAGCTCCACCTCACTAGCTGCTCACCCTCTGCAGTATGCATTCAGGAGGATTCCTTATTTCATGCATCTGAATCATGCAAGTGATTTCATTTCATTCTTTTTTATTATTATTATTCTTTCACCTCTGTGCTTTAAGGGCCAAATCACATGAGATGCTGAATGCCTCCAATGAGGAATCTACATACCCTAGTGGGACATGAGGGGTTTGACGTATCCCAGGAGATGATTTGCACCTCTTGTGGTTGGTAAAACAAGTAACTCAGAGAACAGGCAGAGAGCGGTTGCAGTGAATTATTTCCAGAAACATTTTCTCCCTATAGTGAGGGGAAAGATTTTTATTTGCCTATCTGACCCGCAGCACATACTGCTGAGCTGCAGCAGACAACTTCTCCTCTCTGCCCTGCCCTGAAAATCTGAGATTCTGTCCACATTCTGCGTCCTCTGGACAAGTCAAACAGTCTGCAACAAACCGACAGCTGCAGCCCAGAAATGAGAGAGGAATCTTACCACAAAAAAAAAAAAAAAAAAAAATTAAACTCGTGTCCTGTTCACTTGCATTTGATTTTTAAAGTAAATACACTTGAGATGTTTCCTACTATTGAAAGGGTAGTTTCTTGACACCGTTTCATATAAAACAATCAGCAATGTGGAAGCAGGCAGCTGTATATATAATACGACTATGCTTGTCAGAATCTGCTTTATTAAGTTGGAGTTGGTAAAGGAAATAGATCTATTTTCTTTCTTTAAGCTTTAATGGGCTTTTGTTTTGAACTTGTCATTTTGATTTTCCTGTGAGCTTTGTTTTCATTTTCCTTGAAGATTTCTGGTAACAATAATTGCTTGCAACAGGAAGATTCATGTGAACTGACTTCCATTTTAGACTTCAATTCCTATGAAATGGAAGGGGATTGCAATGTGGATGTGAGCAGAGAGGACTGATGCTTCTGTACAATGCTCTTCTGCTCCAACTGTAAATATATTTTCATGATTAATAAAAAGAGAGTAGAAATCTTTCTAGTCTGTTAGGGTTTTATTGATGGCCGCTCCCAAGAATACTGAAAAGATGCTATCAATACTCTTGACACTCTG